TTTTTTTTTTTTTTTTTTTTTTTTTTTTTTTTTTTTTTTTTTTTTTTTTTTTTTTTTTTTTACAATCTTATCGTGTAAAAACTACGTATGTTAGGTTAAAATGCACAATATAAAATTAAGTATAATTTTACCGTATTTTAATATAGAGAAGAAACAAGAAAGAGATAGAAGTTTATCTTCGAGATTAGGTTAAGTATTGTCACCTTCGAAACGTGATGTCTACTACCACTTTCCACAATATTATCCACTACTTTTTACATGGATACAACATTTCTTCTTTACTTTTTACGTGTTAATTCATTTATAATCTTTTTAGATTGCTTCTTATTGTATAAACTACATTATCTTCTTGTAGACAAGTCGTTTTATCTCTTTTTACATGTCTCTAGTGAATTGACACTTTCATTCGCATCTCTTGTTGTGGGATGGTAGACGGCCGTGGGAAACTTCTCGATATTCTCCTTAGAGAGAGAGAAAGAGGATAAAACTCTAAATTATTTTTAAATTCACTACCAAAAGTAAATAATAATAAGCAGGGAAACTTTAGCCCATTATGTATTCCATCAGCCTAATAGTTTTAAAACGTGTCTACCAGAGAGAAGTTTCCACACTCTTATAAGCTAAGCTTCGTTCCCCTTTCTAATCTAATCGACGTGAGATCTTACATATAAGGAATCTAAAATATACCAGCTTAACGGATGATATTTTTCAGTAGTTTACAAACTGCAAAATTTGTTCATTCCAACAGTTATCACAACAAAACAACAGCAAAATCAATCATATCGATCAACCAGCTTAATCCCCCAGGGCATGTCCTCACAATGCTTTACATGAGGAACAAGTTTACCAGTGTCAACTCCTTTCTTAGCCTTGCAGTCATAGAAAGGAGGTGCATGGAAACAGGGTTCCATGGACATGGCTTGACCACAAGGTGGGTCGGGGGCAGTACGGTTTTCGGGTTTGTATAATATCCATGGTTTCAGACCGCCAAGACCTTGAGCCACATATCCGAAGGTCGACCATGAGCTGGTGACTAATACATCAGTTGTACTTAACAAATACATCTCTGCTAATGCCTTCTGGTTATGTATACTCTTCTCAGTTTGCTGGTGTTCCTCATGACTTGGTTGGTAGAAACTAATTCTCTCTCCCGTCACCGTTGGATTCTCCCAGTAAATGTCTCTCAACTTCTCCATGTAACCAGCACTCAGGGACGTTATCAGCACGGTCTTCGACTTTGGATTACTAACTGAACCGATGATATTCGTCTGCCTATCGGTTTGTGGCAACAGATTCTCCTTCAGGGTACAGGTCAGAACCTGATCCAGGATGTGTTGAAAAGGTCCAGTCCCTGTATCAAACACTCTAATCTGAATACCTATTCTTTCACTAGCTCTAGCCAAGTAAGCTTGATAATATCTCGTAATCAGTCCCCAAACCGAATTCGTGGGGTGAAACAGATATCGACCCAATAAGTGGAAAACGGTATCTTTATTCGGGAAAAGATCATTGAGTTCTTTCTCGAATGACGACATCAAAAAGAGAGATGGGACAAAATAGTTGTCTGTTTTCATAACAAGCCAAGGTGATTGCTGCAGAAGTGCTTGGTCTTGATCACAGAAAAAAAGCTTATCATCATCATCATAATCATGCACCAAATGAAGATAAACAACAGAAGGCAAGATCACTCCACTTGAATCTGTTCTCATGCTGTTCTTCATTATTTTCCCATAGCAATCAGGAGAGGTCTGGTTGAAGTTACTGAACTCCTCTTTAAACGGAAAATCTTGGGGAAGAAACCAGGAAACGTCAGGAAATGGTTCACAGAAGAGATCAGTCATGTCGGTTCCAGGGTCAACTAGTAGGACACGATTCGTGAGGAGAGAATAAAGGAACGCTGAAGCAAGAGTTAATATTCTATTCCCTAATCCACTGAAGGAAATCCATATCAGATATCTACAGTCTGAGGAGCTGCTACTACCATTAGACCTAAGCCACTCCAAAGTTTTGTTATAAGATTCGGTATAAACTCCGCAATGCTTATGAAGATCTTCATAACGCCGCAATTTGGCGATCAGGTAAGAAGAGGGTTCGAACGCCAGCTTGTGTTGATAAGACACTGAATTGTACCTACTGAGACAAGAACCTACACCATGTTTGGCAGAAAGAAGGCCACTTAGCAGTTTATCCTCTGGCTGTATAGCCGTATGAAGATCTCTATCCTTAGAATCCACTGAAAGAAGAAGGCCAACAGATTATACTTGGAACGACACAAATTTCACACTGTAAATGGCTACAGGGGAAGACTAATTATGAAGAATTTCCCAAGTATCAGACACTAAATTATTAGATTACATATATAGCAGCACATAAGAACAGATTATCTCACAATAAAGAAGGGAAAGTCTTGAAGATACTCTTATCTTTGTCTCTATTGGGTCAGTTCATCATGAAGAAAGAGTAGCCAGAACTCAGAATAATTCACAATGTAGTGGAAATGATAGAAGAGGCAAATAAAAATACTGCACTTGTCTGAATGGTTTATCCAAGTTCATTGCCACAAAATTCCAAATCATTTTGATAGCTTAAACATTCAGTACTGAATCAGTCAATTTCTCAAACAGTTTGAATACAAGGTGGCTCTTCAAGAACTCGACACACAATGAATTGAAAGCGATTTGAACTGAAATTCACATGGCAATGAGCAAGAAGCAATTTACAGAAAGTTCAAAATCAAGTACCTAGGTCAGAGTTCCACTGAGGAATCCACATATTTGAGCCATCATTTACAGCATCGGATGGCGGATCTCTAAGAACAACAGAGAGTGAAAAGATCACAGAAATGAACATCAACAAAACCACAACCGTACCCATTACTCGAATCGAACTGAACCCACATTTCGTTTCTTGGTTGCTGTTGAAATCGGTGTGCGGATCCTTGTCCGATAGGGTGTTGTGATGATCCGCAGTCTGCCTCATCAATCGCCTAATTTTTGCATAATTTTCATCTGGGTATGGATTGAATGTAGGGTTCATGGGTTTAAACTTCGTGTTCCAGCAAAAGGGGTAGTGGAAACTGGAAACAGATGGCTTCAAGAGGACCTGTGTCGGTCTATGGAGGTCGCCGAATCAGGGCTACAACTTTTTGTCTTAATTCAATAAACCGAAGAAATAAAGTGAGTCCTGATCGAAATCTCACTCTAATCCCGCTTTGTCGGTGTTCAAAAGCTTTATGATCTATCAGTATCAGCTATCGCGACTAAAATCTATGTGCGTCTTATTCACGCTTCATAAACCTTCAAGATAAAATCGTTAGTTTAATTTAGAAAAAAACTGAAGTAAATATATAATATTGATAGAGAGAAGATATAGTTCTTCTTTGTAACGGCAGCAACAATTTGTTGTTGGAATGTTCTTCAAATTTTGTGGGAAGAACATAGTATACCAACCTCCAAACGTGTAATTAATTTCAAGTTTGGATTGGATTTTTTCCTAAATAGAATAGAGTTTATAACTTAATTCGAGTTGAATTATCAGATTATTTTTTTAATAATTAAAAAAATTATTTATCCATAGTATATATTATATTAATAACCAAAATTTTATAAAATTTAAATATAAAGTATTTACCGTGTCTCATCCGTTAATGCTAAATATTCTTAATTTTTATAATAATCTTAAAATTAGGGTCGAGTTGTAACCTTTGACCAAAAAAAAATATAAATTCGCGAATTTGAATTTTCGATTTTTCAAAAATGTAATTCAACAAAAACTAGAATATATATATATATAATTCAACCCGACCTTTATGGTTTGGATTGGTATCCAAGTTGATCGAGTTCTCAAGTCATTTGAAAATTTATGTAATTCAATATATATATTAGATGATAGGAAAAATGCTCGCTTAAATACTATTTTTTAAAAACTATTTTGATTTATCTACTTTCGACTTTAGTTTAAAATTTATTTTAGTTAAGTTCCTATCTTAATTCGATAAATCTAATAAATGATTTTATAAAATTTTAATATATTCTATATATGGTTAAAATATCATCTGTGGCCTTAGAGTCAAACCCAATAATTGTATGAGCCAATTTATATTTATGATTGACTAGGTTTAGTATAAATATACCTGTCTATCCTATCTATCTAAGAAATACAAAGCAATAGTTTTCTATAAAGTGTCTTGTACAAACAGAGTAATATTGTAGCAGTAGTTTTCTATAAAGTGTCCTGTACAAAGTAGTAAGCGTAGTATTATGTCTTGTAATCTCTTCTTGCTCTTAATAAAGAGTGTGAGTGTTTACGATGCTATACAATTAAAAATAATCATTTTAATAAAAATTTAACCTAAAAGAATAAAAGTAAATCACCAAATAGCATTTAAAAATGAAAACGGGTTAGAAAGAAGTCAAAATCTAAATTTGATTGTCAAAGGAAGACATTTGAATCTCTTTCGCTCATGTCAGCAAGATTGAAGGCCAACCATTGCCGATAAGCAATCCCTGAATTCTGGTGGTACGCCCCCCATCCTCAACCACTCGTATTTCTTTCCCAATTTTCTTGTTTGGATTTGGCAGTCTTACTCTTACATGAGCGTGTTAAGTGAAGAACAACAAATCATCATTCTTCGCCTCCTTACCTAACCTTTCAAACCCAGAAAGGGTTGGTTGTTCACTCCAAGTCGAAAATGGCTGTTGCTTCCCTATGCCAATCCACTATGAATTCCCAGGTCAGTGGGTTGATCGGAGGTCTCACTTTTCAGAAACTAGCCCTCTCTCAACCGACCTCTCTTACCTTTTCGAGGTAATTTGATTAATGGGTGCCCTTCGTTTTCTTCGTTCGATCGCTCTAACATCCCTTGGAGGCCTTGTAATTCAATTTCTCAATCTTTGACTGCGAGTGAACTAACGGTTGTGTTCTTACATTGCCTGATTTTGGGAATACCTAATTTAATTTAGTTTAGTTTTCTGATTCTTGGCATGAGGTGATAATTCATTCCGTCTCATTGAAATTCTGAGATTGAACTGCTGAGCTTCTTGCAATTGTTCTTGTTTATTTGATTTGTGTGTTTTGCAAGAGCTTGCTTTCGTCTATGTTCTAAGTTCCTTCGATCTGTGGTGAAATAGAGTAGAATTAATGACACCCATTGCGGTATATGACGAAATATTTGGTATACAATGTTCTCCTGTTTACTGTCTGTTGCTAACTTTCTAGGAGAAGCTACAAAAATGTGGTGAAAGCTTCAGCTCGGGTTGATAAATACTCAAAATCTGATATCATTGTCTCTCCCTCAATCCTCTCTGCTAACTTTGCAAAATTGGGAGAACAGGTTCTGTTCTGTGCTCTGATATTTCCATCATTTTTCTTTGTTATCAAATTGCTTTGGAGCTTTATACCAATGATTGTATAGATTGAAATTCTCGTCTTGTTTAGGTCAAAGCTGTGGAACTGGCAGGTTGTGATTGGATCCATGTTGATGTAATGGATGGTCGTTTTGTTCCAAATATCACGATTGGACCTCTTGTTGTCGATGCTCTACGCCCCGTGACAGATCTTCCTTTAGATGTGCATTTGGTATGCTTCTTTCTCAATTTTTGTTCTCTTTTGTTGTAGCACTGATTCTTGAGTACTTCTGTTAACATAAACTCGATGCATTGTAGATGATTGTGGAGCCAGAGCAGCGTGTGCCAGACTTTATAAAAGCTGGTGCTGATATCGTTAGTGTTCATTGCGAGCAATCTTCTACAATCCATCTGCATCGCACCCTTAATCAAGTAAGTTTTCCTCCTCTGCGATGTAGTATGCAATTGGGTGCACGTGTGCGGTCCTAGCAAGATATAGATCTAAATGAAGAAAAAAATGCAAAATCTAAGACGTTCTTTAGAATACAATGGAAGTGGATATGTTCCTACATTGCTCAAGTAAGGTTCCCTTTGTGACACAATTCGGGCTTAGGTACACGTTTCTTTTCTTTGTTAAATCCTAATAAGATATAGATTGAAATGAAGATAAAACTATAAAATTCAACATGCGTGTTCCTACTGTTTTATTGTTCTGAAACTTTGAGGATTAAAAATGTGAGATCTCACATCGGTTGGAGAGGAGAACGAATCATTACTTATAAGGGTGTGGAAACCTCTCCCTAATAGATGTGTTTTAAAAACCTTGAGGGGAAGCCCGAAAGGGAAAGTCCAAAGAGGACAATATCTGCTAACGGTGGGCTTAGACCGTTACCAATGGTATTAGAGTTAGACACTGAGCAGTGTGCCAACGAGGACACTGGCCCCCAAGGGGATAGATTGTGAGATCCCACCTCGGTTGGAGAGGGAAACAAAGTATTGCTTAAAAGGGTGTGGAAACCTCTCCCCTACAAACGCGTTTTAAAAACCTTGAGGGAAAGTCCAAAGAAGACAATGTCTGCTAGCAGTGGGCTTAAGATTAGGCTTAGGCTGTTACAAAAAAAGATAATCATATTGTTGAAAACTGCTTTTACAGGAGTTTATGGCTGTTTTCTTGGTTCCGTTGCGCTTCATTCTTGAACCATTACTTGCTTGACTTGCAAATGAAAATGACTTTATTTTTAGACGGAATTGCATTTTATGGAACGATCATATATCTTTATTCATAGGCCATTCCTTTAAATATGATTCAGATAAAAAGTCTTGGAGCTAAAGCTGGAGTGGTTCTAAATCCTGCTACTTCACTCAGCACAATAGAATATGTTCTTGATGGTGAGTGCTGTTTGTAACGTGGAGTCTGCTGCTTATTTATAGCTTATTAAATTGTTATATAAAACTATATATGAAAAATAGTCGAGCGCAGATAGTTATATATATACATATATATATATATATTCTATATTATTGTACATACCTAAAGTCATCAATATAAACCTTTAGCCAACATTTTTATTTGCTCACTCCACTGTTCTTTGTGTATAAGCCTTTAGTCAATATTCCTTTTTACTCTCTCATGTTCTTTGTATTCACCTAGATTCACCTAGATTGAGTAAGAAACGTGATGGATTGATTGGATTAGAGAATAAGACCTGATATTTTGGAGCCATGTGGAGGTTAAGAGTGTATATTTCTAGGATGTTACTTCGTAGAATAACGCGTTAATTATCTGAACAAAATGAAAGGGACTGACAATGCCCTTTGCCTGTTTTCAGTGGTTGATTTGGTCTTAATTATGTCGGTAAATCCTGGTTTTGGTGGGCAAAGCTTTATTGAGAGCCAAGTAAAGAAAATCTCAGAATTAAGAAGATTATGCGCTGAAAAGGTACAATTTTCCTTTCCTTTCTGTAGTTTGTTCCATGAGTTTTAGAAGGTTACAAGGAATCAAAAGCCATTGGCATTTCATTTACTTCGTCGCAGGGAGTGAACCCATGGATCGAAGTGGATGGTGGCGTCGGTCCAGCCAATGCATATAAGGTGCATACAAATAACATTCCCACCATAACAACTCATACTACATAAGTTTCTAAACCAAGTTTTTGGATGGTCTTGCAGGTCATAGAGGCTGGAGCTAATGCTTTAGTTGCAGGTTCTGCTGTTTTTGGAGCTAAAGATTATGCAGAGGGTATGTATGATCCATATCAGTTGCCTCTACTCCCTCTTCTCACAAATCCTTAGAACATTTTAACTAAATTATGCCCTTGAATCGATTCTCGAACAGCCATAAAAGGAATCAAAACGAGCAAAAGGCCCGAGGCAGTTCCAGTGTGAAAGTGACATGTACAAGATCTGAGCTGTTTCAATTAATAGTATTGCTGTGTTCTTCATTGCCACGTAAGTAGTCCCTCGTCGTTGTTTCGATTGATGGACAACGAATATGATTCTGTATGATCCACGACATCTGCTGCTGTCACGATGCTACCTGATCTTACCACTTATTTCTTCTTGTAAATGCAGCGATAAATCTCCAACTGCATAGATAGCAGAACGTTGTGTTCTTCAAACTCGTCTCAGCCATGGATGCCAGCGTCACAGTTTTATTCCTTTGTGAAAAGAAGCCTGTAGATTTGTTATGTACCATAGCATCTCACTATAAATTCAATAATACAAACAAATGACTTGAGTTGGGTTCGAGTGAATAAAAATGGGATGAATCGGGTTATTATTTGTTCCTAAAATTAAATTGGATTATTTTACGGTTTAAAATTGGGTCTGGTTTAAAAATTGTCTAAGACTCTAACTCTGAACACCCCTACATAATATTAACCATAATTTCTAGGCTCCTTAATAATATTAACTCTAGATTAATGTTGATTAATGT